CTCATGGCTATCCTAATCCATACAGCTTCTGAGGGGAAGGCTTTCCTGAAGGGTGGAATAGGGATTGAACGACAATATGGAATTCTCTCTTTAACTAATGACATAATAATGCGAATAAATCCTGAAGAAATCCTTTATTAACAAGGATTTGTTTTACAGAATAAAAAAGTGTGTTTACAAATTTGACTAAAATCTATAATCTAATTTGACCTGCTATCCAGAGTATCTGGAAGTCTGAAGCATGGTAAGATGCTTCTAAAACTTTTTTTTACATCTTTAATCTGTGCAGAATTCAGTAGCTTGTAAGAGTATATCTGTTCTTTTTACTAAAAATAGCCTGAAAATATTCAGAATCTCTCTGACAGAGCCATGTCTTTGATTGTGGACGGCTTCTGTCCTTTTGGATTTTGTAGTTCATCTGATTAATGTGTCAGTGGTGGTTGCAAAGAGAGGGAGCTGTCCAAATAATGTGACTCTCAAGGAGTAGTCAAGAGCAGGAGACGTACCAAGAAAAGAGAGAGACACAGATGACAAGAGTGCAGAAGATGCGGAGGGAGAATGGTCAGGCTGAAAGGAAGTGGAGGAGGAAGAAGGGAAGGAGGGGGCACAGCTAGCACAGCATAATTAGCCTGGGCTGCTTGGTTACCTTCCAAACAAAGCTGCTGATTTGTGGATCAAACGAAGAGGAGGGGAAAAGGAGGCAGAGAGAATGGAGGGGGCAGGACCGAAAGAGGAGTGATTGCACCATGCCACACTCACTTGAAGCTCAGTCTCCCTTGGAGACAGTGGCAATGCCGTATCCTGGCATGACAGTGCAGCAGTAGAGTCTCCACTTTGCCACACTTCCACTGAGCTGGGCCACTATCCAGGGAGAAGGAGCGCACCAGTAGAAGAACAGCTGGAGAGGAGCAGAGTCCTGAGAGGAGTGCTGGGAAAAAGTGTTGACAAACATCTACTGGAGGTGGGCAATCGAGAGTGTCAAGAAGGAGTCGGGAGCGGGGGAGTCAGGAGTCTGAGGATGCTGGGAGTTAGCAGGAGGAGCTGCTGAGGGTGCTCCGGTTGGGGGCACACTTAAATACTCACGTACACACGTCTTCCACAGGAGACAGTGTGTGGTGACCCCAGAGGAGAATGAAGAAGCACTCAGCCCGAGTGGCTCCTCTCAGCTCCTACAGCACTCAGGTCCTCACCTGCCCCAACTCTGAAGGTAAACTGAAAGAACCAGAGGCCAAGCACGCCATTTGTACTGTAGCTCTGTGCTAGCTGTGTGTTAGCATTAACTGAGTACTCTTATTTATATGGTCCTATGCATCCCTGTACACTTAAGTATCACATAAGTGAACTAGATATTTCCTCCTAAAGTTTGTACTTTGTATACTTTGGACAATGAGTTAAAAAAAAGTATATCCAAATAGGTAAGCAAGCATGATATGAATTAAAAGTTTAATAATTTTCTCTGTCTGTGCAGACATACATTTATATTCAGCAGAGATGAATATTCAGTGTAGATACAGCATGATCAGTTTGTCTTAGGATGTCCTGTTTTACACAAAGTTTACACGACAAAAAAAGAGACACATTTACATCTCAACAGTCCTCAAATCTGGCTTGATATTTGTTTGTTAACTTTACAACAGCCTCCAAAAAAACAAAAAAAAAACTCACTTTCAACACATAAATCAACAAATCCAATTAACTTTCCATCATATCCATAGCACATCTTCCCACTTAATTAGGATAAATACTTAATTCAAATGACCCGTAGTAAGCCTGACTTACACTGCAGACATGACTGTGAGCTTCTTATTGGATTCAGCAGAGCTCCATCAATCAGTGGCACTGGCATGCAGCATCAGTGGTGGGGATAAAACGCAGAGTGGATTGAAATGCGAGGTTCCAGCGGCACACTGCGTCACACAGATTTAATAAGCTCCGTAAACAGGAGATGGAATGAAAGCTCATATGCCGCAGTATTTTCTGGAAAGTTGATACTTTTAAATACTCTATGGTCGACGTTTCTCTAAACACGCAGAATGATTTACTTTATCCAAACACAGAAGTCTACGTAGCAGCTCAGTATTCATGTTTTTGATAGTATCCCAGTGGTGGGTGTTTTGAATTAAAGCATACATTTTTTTGTGCACATAATTACATTTTAAAGTTGGGATTTTACCGAGCGTGTAATAGTTTTTTCTTACTGCTGCATTAAAAATCCTAAAAAGGGTATGATTTTGTTAGTGAAGGCTATCTTTATGAGGCAGAGAGACAATTCTTAGGTTATATCTGCACCGTGGCACCTTATTAGCCTATGGTGGCTTTTCCCTAAGGACAGCAAATTTTGTGTTTGTGCCTAAAGTTTGTGGTCCTGTTCATGCTATGAATCGCATTGTTTGGTGGAAATAACCCAGCAAATATCAAGAAAAAGGGCACAGGCTTGTTTTGTTTTGCAAAAATATCGGGGCTCAGTTTTCCATTAAGCAACCAGCACACTCATTAGGTTGATGAAGAATCCTTGCTGTGTCAGAATGTAATTAAACCAAATCCCCGGATAATCTTGTAGAAACTAAACTGTATTGGTGTTGAACATTTAGCTTTTACCACAGACTGTGGATCTGCTCCCAGCTGAGGGAGCAGGGAAACATTTTATCTGAGAGTTTATTCTGGGCATGTTCACTTCTCTCATTTGTAGACTGAGGTGGTGTCTGGTTGTTTTCAATTTTTTAGATGTTAAAAGTTTGTATTGTCTCTCCCTGTTTGACAGGTTTTGCAGTAATTGTGCCAGAAGTGAGAATTTTCAGTTCTGCAGTCACAGGGTTAGTCCAGTTGACAGGGAATACTCCACTTTGTAAATGTCTGTTATGCAACTTTATGCATCTATTATCTTTGTACATTGTGTTGTTCACAGCTTACATATGACCATTCAGCCATTTTTGTGATTGAGGCTCATGAAAACATCTGATAACCATATTTCAGATACAGACTATTCCTTCACTGAGTGATTTTCCTGCAAATAATATCACATTTTCAGACACTGTTTGGTTAACCTTTCCAGTATCCATCCATCCCCTGAACTCGATTAATCAAATTCATGGTTTCAAGGGGGCTGGATTCTATCCCATTTTATATCAAGCAAGTGGCAAGGTAAACTCTTGACGAATTTATCATTTTCGGGAATATCTTAAAAGATCTGTAGCCTAGTATTGCAGTATAGCAACACTATGATCAGACACATCACTATAGATAATATCATTTCAACCTTTCCAACATTCTTTTTTTTGTGTAAGTATAGAATGAATAAAGACAATGAATTGAAAAGGTGCACTAGAGGCATGTGGAATGAGTCAAAGAGAAAATGTAATTGCATAGTTATAAGTCACGTTGTGCAGTTTGCTTAGTCATTGCACTTTGTCTGTTGTACAGATAAAGACATGTATGGGATGACTATTGTTTCGTGTTGTTTGTATTAGTCGTGTGGTGTGAGTGGCTATAAAGCATGACATGTTGATGTGTATTGGTGACCAAACTGTCTGCCTGAAAACTTTTAGAAACAAGCATTACATTATGAGTTGATAGACTTGATTTTGATAAAGATCTGAGTGTTTTTCGTTTAAGATGAACAGTCATGTCCTGTATATACTTACGGGATACCAACAGTGATCTAATGATATCACTACAACTATAGAACCAATTTGACCTGACTTTAAGGCACAAATGAGGCGCCCAGAGAAGCTGTTTGCGATTCAGAACATGCTGGTATGATTCTCTCTTTGTTTCTGGTAAATAGAGGGAGAATGGATTAAACAGTATAAAGCAAATCTTGAGCAAGCTAAATGCTTCAACAAAATGAAACTGTCAGCGGTGCTCTTAACAATCACTGGTCCCCTGATTAAAAAGTTTGGTCCTGCCCCTCATACTTACCTGATAAGCTGCTCAGGTCAGATCTCTTTGCAGATAGCTTAAAAAAGACTATCAAATGCAATAATGGCAACTCCTGAGATGCCCTAATTTCTGTACACCGAAGATAAAAGTCTCTAAGACTGGGAGTGTAGCCATAGTAGAAAAAGCAGAGTGTCATGTGCTGAGTTTGCAACGAGGGAGAAGGCAGCAAACACCTAGCACATGTCATCTTTTATTCCTGCCCTGGTGTAAATTGATCACACAGTTGAGAGGTAGAGAATGGATCTGAGTTCTCTCCGGAAGTGGTCACACACAGACACACACACACACGCGTGCTTGCACACACACACATATACTACTTAACATTTTATACAGCACAGTCAAAGGCAACTTATTCCTGCAGTCCATTAGGGCACAGGGCCAAGGCCTGATGTGCATCACCACTGTAAGACCAAAGCAAAGACTGGCTTTCTTTCTTTCTTTCTTTTCATCTATCTATCTATCTATCTATCTATCTATCTATCTATCTATCTATC